GCTTCTCAGTTGTACATTTCTCAAATAAAAAATGTTTCTATTAAAAAGTGTGCCAATCTATATGGGGGGGAATGGTAAAAGGAGATAATCATGAAAAGGGTGTTGCATACTCCATTTTGAAATCTAGAAAAGGGCATTGGCAGAATACTTTTAGGAGAGGATATCTTCTGCAGAGGTTCTCACTATCAGGGTGCATTGGTGCTTTTTGAAGGGCTCTGCCCAGTGTATCACTTAATTTGGAAAAGACAACAACCAGAACACATAGCAATTCCACAGAGTTCCAAATTAGCAAGCTATCTACTAAACTGCTCCCTAATCACATACCATGCAATATGGCAGTCCCACATAAGGATAACAAATTAGGGAATTGTCTACTAAATAGGAGAACGATCAGATTTAAGAAAAGTCAATTTATGAATTTTGATCTTTCAGCTGTGTTTAGTAGATACCAAGTGCTTTGTGCAAATCAAGGAGCTTAATGTAACCAGTAAAGAAATCTAATATATGGCAGCTACAACGCATGTGCTAGTATCCTCACTCTTCAAACACTTACATGCAGAAAAAATGGGGTGAACCGAGTGATCCAAACCCACTCACGTAAACCTAGTGGAGCGCTAAATATAATTGAATTACCCTTAAACATTAGGGGAATACAGAGGAGGCTGTGGTATAGCCATACTTTACCAACACTGGTGTGGTTTGAGCCTATCCTTGTCAGGCTCTGCTCCATGTGAGTGTATCCATTACCTATCACACTTCAGCCTGTTCTTGGACTTTACGCTATTGTACATATCTTTCTTTCCTTTAGTATACTCTGTTAAGATCTGTATTGTTCCCCCTATTGTTTAAGGGCAAGTCAATTATATTAAACTCCCCACTAGGTTTACATGTGTGGGTTTGTATCACTCAGTTCAGCACCTTTTTTCTGTGTTTAGTAGATAGCTCCCTAGTTTGTCACCCTTTTGTGGGAATGCCAATTTTAAGGGTTCCAAATTATGAAGCTTATCTGTTCAAAAGCGCCCTGATTTGATATCCATTCAAAAGCATTTTTTCAGAATTTCAGATGAACCGAAACTTCAAAATTAATTGGCGACATTTTTCACTCCAGCATATCTCTATATAATAGAGAGATATCGAAAGATTTCCTGAGCACTTCCACTGCACTATGAAGGCTTGTCAGAAGTGGAGGGAACCTCAAGAACAAGCAGTGTTGTGACACAGTAGAGCATTTTGTAGACAGAATGTATCCTCGAGCAGCAGAGCATGAGTGATGCATTCCTTATCTTCAGAGATGTACATTGGAGTGATGTCCTACGTGTTAAATGGGGAAAAAAGGAACCTTGTGTCTACCTTTTATAGAAACAATAATCAAATGAAAAACTATGATAATTCAACTACACACTTCGATGGACACCATTCACCACATGTCAAAACATATTAACAATTTTCAAGAAGTGGAGTGATGTTTAAGTGGAAAACTCCATACTTCATGCACAGATCAAATAACAATAAATATAATACTTATACTCCCAATAGATGGCAATCACAAAATCAGTGTTGTATAGTACATGTAAGAGAAAATTGAGAAATAGCAATAATAGTGCCGATCTGTATGGAATATTTACTGCACTTACAATAATTAAAATGTAGTCAAATCCAATAGAATGGCTAATAAGCTAGTGATAAAGTAACAATTTATTCAAACCCAAAGGTTAAAAGCAATACAGTTGAAATATAGTTAAAATATTGTAAAGCAAAATGCAAACAGGTTGCCACTTAGAAGATTAAATGGTGAGTATGCCAGTACATGTACCCGTTACTCACAACCACGCTCAATACAATGGGGGCTACCCATGTGGATCTGGACTCTCGGCGTCTTCCATCTGGTGGAGTTGTAATAATACCTGTGTGGATGCCGTTCGTCTTTCCCGGTGAAGCTCAGCTCCGCTCACCTGGATGCGTAATTGTCACGTCTATGCGTTTCGCCGTGCACAGACAGCTTCGTCAATACGTTTGAAGCTATTTCAGTCCTTACCCATAAGGGCTAATAAATGGGCAGATGTCCAATCTCTTATTGGTGAGATCTTAAAGCTTGGATTTGCATAATGCAATCTCTCCCAAGCTTTTAAAAGTCCCATAATTTAAAGTGACACTGCTTGCATAATGTTATCATATATTTACTAAACACAGTGAAATCTATATTTTAGTAGAACAAATGATCTATTAAGAACAAGTATCTTAAATTGAATAACAGATGTTCATACAGATGACAACTTTAGTCCGATTCAGACACCACATTTCATAAATAATAATCATACAGTAAATTAAGACCTATTCATTTGATAAGGAAGAAAACAATAAAACATGAGTTTTTAGAATGTTCATAGTATTGATCTTATTATATATTCTATACATTGCAGAAAGAAAAAGTGATATTAAACATATTAAAAAATAAACATATATCACCCCATTAAACCAAATGGGTGTCATAAAAAAATATATAGTGAGTTTAACACACCAAGGGGCATAACATATAGCAGGGTGCCACAGTAGCCAATATTCATAGAACAGTGAAAAATAAAAATGATAATAAAAATAGGAATAAGATGATGAGGTGGATATTATAAATTTAAAATTAAGAATTTTAAATCTAAAAAAAAGGGGGTCGATCTAATTTTCAAAATGACAAATTTCAAAATCATTATTTAATCCTTTGGGAATGTGTGTATTCAATTCAAACATCCACCTCATATCTGTACAGCCCAAATGTTGCATAAAATTGCCTCCTCTTATTAACCTGTTGAATACTACATTATGATTTGTACTTTGCTGGTAACAGTGCTGGGTAAATAATAGATATTAGGCCTTCGTATCGTAGACCTGTGGCACACATATGTTCAATAATGAAAAAAAATCTGAATATGGGATATTCTTAGCTTCTTGAAGTGAGGCAAAAGTAAGAGCATTGTTATCGTTAGATTACCAACAGTCTCTTTATTGTGAGCTGCCCACCAAGAGAATGTTTCTCTCCCCGATGGAAACCGAGGATTTATAAAGGAGTATGTGGAGAGTTATGTGCCTTATAGACTGTAAGTTATAGACTGTAAGCTCCTTTGAGCAGGGTCCTCTTCAACCTATCGTTTCAGTAAGTTTTCTTGTAATTGTCCTAGTTATAGTTAAGTCCCCCCTCTTATAATATTGCAAAGTGCTACGGAATCTGTTGGCGCTATATAAATGGCAATAACAATAATTGAATACCATCTTGTGAGTGTTCTACCTTCCCCTGCCCCCTTTCTTGATTATTTGTAGCTGTATTACACTATTTTGTGAATATTTTTATTTTTCAAGTTTTATTATTTATTACCAGCTTGTATTCCACACATATTGTTATATATAATTTAATATGTTATTATTTTCTTTTTTATATACATTTGGGTGTGTGTGTTTTAATTTATAGAGTTTCTCCTTTTTGTTATACATTTTTGTATACTTTTGGGTATTTATATGTGTATTATATTTGTTTGTGTGTCAAGCTGGTGGGGACATGTGACCCATTGTGACTGCTCACTGTGACATCATTGTGACATCATGTAACATCACCCTTGATGCACAGTTTGCAGCAGTCACTAGACACGGCTTGGACAGTAGACACTGCTTAGCTGTTGTGGTGAGCAAATTGCTAGAGATGGCAAATAGAAATGTTTTCTCGTGGATTCGGCGTTTGCCCTTTCGAAAGGTAAGTAAATGACTTGTTTTCTTTAAGGTTCCAATTAACCCAACCATTAACTGGGGTTTGTAACATGTTAACTCCAAGTTTGTGGGTGGGTCCATATTTAAATTAATAACATGTATCACTAGAGGCGTAGAAGCAAATCATTATTGTATTCTTATCTCAATGGAGTTAAATGCTTAACTAATTTTTCTATATTAAAATCCCAATGTTACAGCAATTTGCAATAATGTTGCAGCTACAAGCCCATCGTTTCACTCACATCCAATTCTGGGAGTTGTTTGTCCTTGTTCATACAACTAGTTGTATATGTATCAGAATTAGAACAAACTCAATAAGTGGTTTACATACACTAAGGTTTAGACATATATTAATTATCAAGGAAATTCAATACATTAAAATACCACAAGACAGTGGCAGCCCAAGATACTAAACAGGAAATGGTAAATGGAAAAGTAAACCCGAAAGTCAATTAAAATTGATGATTTCAAAATTCTCCAACTGGACTGTAACGACAGCTTAACTATTTTACCTTCAATTTTGCCATTTGGGTTTCAATGTACTAGAATTCAGTGTTCAGTGGATGAAGCCAAGTTACTCAATAGATTGGAAATCTGTATAAAACATTTCCCATACTAGTTACATACAAGGTCAATGCAAGTTTTTTTACTACTCTAGGCAAAACAACATTTTGCTGACCCCCGCCCCCCACCACGCCAATATGCTCCGTCCATGGTATGACATCACACTGACCATAGCGCAATATGCGCCGCCTGTGGTGTATTTAAAAGAAACACTTTTATAAACGATCACAAATGTAACAGGCTTCATACAGCAAGCAGAGGTGCTTTAAGTTTTCTGGAGTTTTCCTTTAAAGGGCCACTCCAAACACCATAACCACTACTGCTAACTACCATTAATGAATTGTCAGCTGCTACTCTCAGCCAATCTCTGCCGTCTCCTTACTGGCTGTACCAATACTACTGCATTAGCCGAAGAGAAGAGAAGAGGGAGAGAACGGTTACTGATGGCACACATTTAGTGTTAAATTATTTACAAACAATTTAACACTTAAATATAAGGCTGTTCCAGGGACTCCAGGCACTATAACAACTTCAATGTGATTTAAGTAAACCCATACCTTTAGGTTGTTTGTAGTAGTTTATTGCTGGGCCCTGTGGCAGCAACGAGATGGACTGTAAAAACTTTGGTTAATTAGAGCATTTTTATTTGAATTTATTTGGGTTTCTAATAGTTTTTGCCATTTCAGGGCGCCAGACGCAAGAAATGTGATGACACTGAGCAGAAAGGAGAGGACCCTTCGGGTATGTTAAAACATTGTGTGTGTGGCTGTTATATCTATCTTTGGGAAGCCTAGTAACAATTCTCCTAACAAGACATTCCTTCTTCTATAACTTTAATAATAGGTTTCTGTTCATTTTTTACCAGGAAGGACACATTCAGATTTCTCTGGTTTGATTGCTTCCTGCAGAGTTTGTACAAAATATACAATGTTGACATTTCTGGGACATTAGATTGCAGAGTTAATATTTTGGGGAAGGTAGATCCATTTGTATATATTCAGACGCCGTTTCCATCTTGTGAGTCTCTTCTAACCCCCTTACCCATTGTATCCCCCCACCCATAATGCACTACTGTCTTAGTCCAGAAAAGATCTGGAATGTTCCCATTCTTTTTAATGACAATGCTAAGCATATCCCATAAACTCAGCAGGTGTATGTAGTTCAGCACTTGGCAGTAGTTTCATTCACTAATAGTCATGAAGAAACTGTTTATTGAGCTGCGTACTCCATTGATGTTTATAACTCAATGGAACCAGTGGTTGCCTCTCATTTGTAAACATAACAAATGCTCCCCCCAAGAAATGTAATTTAAGTGCATTTCGATATCAATATTTATATATTGCTATCAAAATTTATGTAAAATTAAATTACATATATATAAAGTATATATTTACATATTATTTTTACATAATAATGTGATTTTATTGATTATAAATTGGGGGACCTGCCTGACAACCCAGGCAGAAAGTCCAGTGAATTCAATTTACAAGCCCTATATTTAACCTTGTAACTTTCCAAAACACCGTAAAACCTGGACATGGGGGCTACTGTTGTACTTGTGAGACTTGGCTGAAAACAAATACGTATGTTTTAAAAGAGTAAATTATTTAATGACGATGATATCATCAGTGAAAATGCAGCTTTTCTGTGACAAATGCAAATGTTTGGACAGGGTTTGTGACTAAGTGGCTCCTAAAAGATTAGATTTACCCCATTTGCAAAACCCTGGGTTGTCTACGTTTGCAAATGGTTTGCCATGATGGGGGTAATTCTCATTCCTGGCCTGCCATACTGCCTTAAAGGCAACTAAACCAACAAATTTCAAGGTGCAAAAACTGCAAAGGGGGAAGTACTATATGTAACCCTGTAACTTTCCAAAAATCCATAAAACCTGTATATGGCTAAACATAAATATGTGCATTTTATTGCACTAAAAGTTAACAGTATTATGACATTTAAAGGTAAAATGCCACAGAGAACTTTTTAATTTCTCAAACTTTTTTTTTTTTTTTATTCATATTAAATTATGTTTCATACATAAATAGTTTATTTTTGTGAAATGAAAACCCTCTTTCTCTTGAACAAAATTGTATGTAATACGTGTGGGTGCACTTAATATGAAAGATGTAAGCTATGGTTAAACAATATATATCTCAAATTCAAGGTTTTGTTTTGAACAGAACTTGGAGAACTTCCTCCATCCTTAAAGGACCACTATAGTGCCAGGAAAACATACTCGTTTTCCTGGCACTATAGTGCCCTGAGGGTGCCCCCACCCTCAGGGTCCCCCTCCCGCCCGGCTCTGGAAGGGGGAAAGGGGTAAAAACTTACCTTTTTCCAGCGCTGGGCGGAGAGCTCTCCTCCTCCTCTCCGCCTCCATTACGCCCCGCCGGCTGAATGCGCACGCGCGGCAAGAGCTGCGCGCGCATTCAGCCGGTCTCATAGGAAAGCATTTACAATGCTTTCCTATGGACGCTGGCGTGCTCTCACTGTGATTTTCACAGTGAGAAGCACGCAAGCGCCTCTAGTGGCTGTCAATGAGACAGCCACTAGAGGATTAGGGGGAAGGCTTAACCCATTCATAATTATAGCAGTTTCTCTGAAACTGCTATAAGTATGAAAAAATGGGTTAACCCTAGAAGGACCTGGCACCCAGACCACTTCATTAAGCTGAAGTGGTCTGGGTGCCTAGAGTGGTCCTTTAAGGGCTTAAAAGATATAGGACAAGGCAGGGAATAATATTATGTTGTAGTTATAATTATCAGAAGACAAAAGCAGGGATAGGGAAACTTTGGGCACCAAAACATTTGAGAGCACATAACATATTATGGTACATGAAGTGTCTGAATAAAAGTGTATGTATTAAAAGATCCTATAATTTGTCATGTTGCCTTGAACAATATTGTCTGTCTACATTGTGATTTGACTACTGTCTTTTTTATTATTATTTATAGAGTGTCCAATTACTCCAAACTCTCCTAAAATTGCCAAGGGCTCAGCTGTAAATGGTAGTTTTTCCTCAATCGATCTGAACTCTCCTAAACGTATCGTATTGGCAGCTAATAGCGGGTCATCAAAGGACATCCCTAAACATGTAGCTCAACCGGATATTGATAAAGTTAGGGAGCAGATCAAACAGGAAATTAGAAAAGAACTTAAAATTACAGCAGGAGCCAGAAACATGGTAAAGGCTACAACCAAGAAAAAACATCTTGCAAAAGTCAACAAGTTTCTCAAAACATCACAAAGAAAACTGGATGATCTTTACATTAAACTTCAAGAGCGCAATGCGCATATTGTTGTGCCAGACGCAGAAGGTACATTCCAAGACTTTGTGTTTCCTTGTAATGAGTGTGTGTATGTGCTTGTTTATTGTAAATATATTTCAATCATTTCCTGGAGAACATGGATAAATACTATGTTACGCATCCAACATGTAAATGTAACCTACAGATATATAGAGGAAGCAGTACTGTTTTTCTTTTTCTTTTTCATTTTATAATCAGGTGGATGTTTTAGAGACTTCAAACAGCAAATCGTAACTTTGGATCAGTTACTGCACTCGTGATGTGCTGTATGAGATCGTAGACTGACTTATAGAAAAGATCACTTACTGAGCATCAGATCAGCCACATTATACAGCGTGAAAACGTGCAGAATAAAATAAATACTGGCTGAGGAAAGCTTAGCCTTGTTAGTTTTACAGAAACATAAAACAAAAATTTGCAGCTTCTCCAGCTAGCTCTGTTTAGATGGGAAATCTCTCACCCAAACCTGGTAATTGCATTATTCCCTATGAGAGCCTATATGGGGGGGTTTGTGAAAACACACAGAGTTACAATGTGGCTTATAGAATGACCCCATTTATGTCGTGACTGGCTATAATAATGGCAATCTCACTGGCATATATAGAAGCTGGAATAGTTAGTGGATGAGTTTATGACGTGACACCTCAAAGAGAATACTGTTCATACCGTCCCGTTATGATGTCATCAAGCACGGGGGATGTTTAGCTGCAGTGATTTTTGTTGTTTTTGTTGATTTTCTGCTGCTCTCAGGTTTTGTGTAAATTACAATATCTTTACTTACAGATGTTACTGTTATTGCCTTTTTTATTTATTAAGTGAAACTGTCTGCCGACATTTCTAAATTCTGTATTTTTTTTTCTTGTTACTAATTTCCGTGATGTCCAGAGATGTCAGCTGTTCCTAAAGATGACACCAGCTCCCAGGCACATAACGTGAAGCTGACTGCTTTGCAGAAACAGCTAAGCATTGAGCTGAAGGTGAAACATGGAGCAGAGATAATGGTCGGTGCATATTCAAATGGGTATTCCAAAGTAAGTTGGTTATATTTAAATAAGAGACAGAAAAAATTCTTTAAACTTTTTTTTTTGGTGTGGGAGTGGTGGAAACACATTGTACAATGCATAATTTTTTTCAGCCCAACAGCATTTTATCTGATTTAAGCTAATAGTATGTTGGTGATATTTGTTCATGGAATCAAGAGATGCGATAGAAACTAAATTTCCATGAGTTTGCCGACACCATCTCAACTATTTAGTTGAAGGCACAAGCTTTTCTTGATCGGCCATTAATTATTTTTAATATTTCTAATTGGAAAGCATGCAACATCTGGGTGAAAATCATTGTTTAAGGGGTAATAATTAGATCAAAACATAGTCCATGTCTGTCCCGGGGTGTGAGCAGTCAGGGCTTATTTCCTAGAATAGGGTAATTGAGGCTACACTTCTTCATACATCTCACTCAATTATCTGACTATTCTTATTGCTGTTACAGAATGTCAAACATCTTACTGCTGTCCAGAAAATACTACAAGACAGCGAGAACAAAATAGACAGTTTACGCAACTTAATTCTGGAAGAAACATCTATCATTAAAGGTAAAGGTTCAGTAACCTCATATGTAGTTTAAAAGAAGATTTATGGGTAACAATGAAAACTGTTCAAAAACGGTTTGACTACTTATAATGGGATCCAGGGCACTCCTGGCACCATAACCACTACTGCAAGATATAACTCTCTTACAGGAAGGTCTGAGAGAGCGGTGTATATCCCGTAGACCTCTATACTCCAAGGGTTTGTGAGGAAATGTACAGATTATTATTAATGTTATTATATGTATAGCACCAGGAAATTCTGCAGCGCTTTACAGTGGGTGGACTAACAAACATGTAATTGTAACCAGACAAGTTGGACACACAGCTACAGAGGGGTTGAGGGCTCTGTACGATGAGCTTACATTCTAGAGGGAGTGGGGTAAAGTGACACAAAAGCTAAAGGAAGTATAGGGAAGTAATGACAGTTGTAGGAGAGGAATCAGTCGGGAGCTGCTAACAGTTTAACTGTGGGCTTTTAATGATTTTTTTGAAGGAGTGGAGACTGGGTGTGCGTCTAACGGAGAAGGGATGGGAGTTCCACAGGAACAGTGTAGCCCTAGAAAAGTCTTGAAGGTGAGCATCAGAGGTGGGAGTACGGACTGAAGATAGACGTCCTCTTAGAACTGGGAGCAAAGGGAGTTATACCAACACGCAAATACATTTTATATTATTTACAAAACATATATCTTAGACATCTGTACATGAGCCGGTTAAAGCATTGGGAATGTTACTGCCTTAGAACTGGGAGACCAAGGTTTGAATCCTGGTTTAGACCTTGCCAGTAAGTGTCTGTGGGTAGGATTAATTACTGAATGGATGTACGTTGAGCAGAAACTTCATCAAACCTAAATATCCCCTTTCTATAATTGTAAACCACTGCAGAATATGTTGGTGCTATATAAGGGATAATAGTAATATCCTGAAATAATTTGCAAAACATTTTACAAGATAAATTCTTGTTAGTCAGTCCCTTTAAAAAATAGCTTTTATATCAAATAGTTCACTGAGAGATATTAAAACTTACATATTAAGGTGGCGATCAAAGCCTGACTTAGTGTAAAGCAAACATACATTCTGCTGGGTGCTTTAAGCCATTTATATCAAATCAAGATCAGTGACCAGAATATTGTCAGAGAAACTAATGACAGACACCTACCTGCGTCTGGAAAAATTCAGAAATCTATGTTCACCTAGAAACAAATAGATGGAAAACACACTTCCTGAGTCTCATGCCAACACACCAGTCGGGATGGTCATCAATGCAGACATGAGAGGGACTTGCAGGTGCTCCTCCAAGGTAACAAATGTGTAAAATTCCAAATAGTGACCTTTGGGTTGATAGGTTCTGGGAGCATAATGTCTTCTTTAAGGACATATCAAAGCTTCTGAATATAAAGAGCATTAAAATATATAGAGATATAATGAACATTCTAAAAACAAGGCAGCTCTATGATTAACATGACATGTTCATATGAAAGAAAACCACCTATGGTCCTTTAAATGGACAATTCTTAAATGTTCTCCGATGAGAGCTGAATTACTGCAATAGTCTCCTTCGAGAAAGGCAACTTCAAATGTGCCCAGCACTGTGAATTTATTCGCTAAGCATTGTGGAATATCATATTCCAAATGTTGACAGGCAGGTGATGCATGCGCATCAATTCTAACAGCCATCCTGCAGGGGTTGCATGCTTCATTTCAGCTATACGGTATATAAACAGGATATATATCTATTGAACATTTATTGTGTCCCCTCCAATACTACTGACATTATTAGTTTATACATATATGAGTTATACATAATATTATGGGTTTACATATAAGCATTATTAGTGTTTGAAAAACTAATTGATTCTTCTATAAAATTAAATATCATAAAGATCCATGATTGGAGATTGTGGTTCTTGTTTTATTCTCTTTAGAATTGAGGTGAAAATAATTGTAGTATCATTGATCACTGTGAATGATATACAATACTTACATTATGTTATGTCTAAACCTTTACAGAAGAAACATCGTTACCAGTTCCGGAGACGGACATTAATATTCTTGCCCCTTCGTTATTGGTGACAGACGTACAGGAGCCAGAGCCGGCTGGGTATTCACTTTATATCTTTCTAATCAATGTTGTTAGAACCTGAAGCCCTCCTAGTTCATAGTACTATACATGTTGAATTATCTATAAGTCCGACATATGTTTGCCTACTGCTGTCTACACATTTCTTAGCATGTGTATCAGTCACAGATTCATTTTATAATGCTGTCTACATGTTGCATACTTGTGACAAGTAGCCAGAACTCCTTCTCTTTGCAGGACTCTGTGAATTCTGCAGTCTGCCAGGCAGGGTGTGAAAGTACTTTGGATGTCACACAGGAATGCAGAACTCTATACGGTGCAAAAACATAGAAATCTGCAACCCTAGTTATATGTATTATTGGGGTGTCCTTTAAATAATGCACTGTATATAGCAGCATCAATGTCTAAAATATAATCAGTATATAGATCTGATAATCTGCCATAATATTTTAACGATTAAACCAGATAAACTATTATTGTCTTCCTTCTGATAGCGATATTCCAAACTTTGATATGAAACCAATTAGCCCACCGGATGTGGAGTTTGACTCAGAGCCACCTCCTGCTCCAAGTCAATCATTTCTACACAGTGATCAGAGTTGGTTTTCATTCCATATTGAGATCCCGGACATACTGGCTCAGGTAAAGATGTGCTGACTTTATTTTGGTTGTTTTTAATCCTTAAACTTAAGTGTATACTCTGCGTAGAATAACCATTACAGCTTAGTGCAGTAGTCCTAGTGCAGAGAGTCTGTGGCTACTAACCCACTTTTTTGTCAAACCATTTGGGAGCATTTTGACACTGAACTTTGGCTAGCATCCAGTGACTGCACCCCTCGCCACAGGGATAATGTGGAATTTACATTTTTGCGCTATAAATGTTATGTCCAACCGGGACAGCTGTGGGGTTATCCTGAATTGTCAGCCAATCAATGCCATCCAGGTTGCATAAAATTGGTATTGATACAAAAATGTTAATTGATCACTATCAGTATGGCTGAAGAGGGGGGAAGTATCCAGGTATTTGGGAGAATCTAATTGGTTTGACATTAAACCATGGATAGAACCAGGACACTCTAATTAATGTAACTACTACAGTGAGCTATAATGGTTATGGTGCTTACAATTTCCTTTTAATCATTATTTTCTCACATTCATGGCTTCTCTCTCCACTCCCAGCAAACCTAGCTTCCTTTAGTTTTCTCTACCATTTTATTGCGTCTAACTTTCTTTTCTAGAATTCTGGAGATATCTATGAATGTAGCATTGATAACAGATACATCATGACACCAGATGAAATGAGTCACCCTAATTGTTCCAGTCTGGATAATATCGTTCCTGAAAATTCTGAGAACCTACCACATGACCACTTACCTGCTATGTGGACTCAAGATCAACTTCTTCTCAAATTGCAGGACATCCAGCATTGCTCTATGCTGGAGGAGGGACAATCTGTAAAAGTAAGTTTAAGGTGGAATTCCAGTTCTAGTTCGATATAACAGATATCTTAACAAATGTAGGACAGCACAACACAATCAATGCCATCAGGTTGTATAAAATTGGTATTGAAGAGAAATAGTAATTCCTCACTATTTTACAACAAACTAGAAAAGAAAATGGCAGTCATATCTCCTAAGATCAGGGAGCTATTTCCTTATCCGTATATTTAACATGTGATTGTGAGATGTGAACAATAACATTAAACATAGAATTTCAGTCTTTTATTCAGCGGCGCCAGTTCTGAGAAATGACAATAAAACCCAACATTAAAGTGTCTGACTTTCTTTTCTAGGATTCTGGAGATTGCTATGAATGTAGCATTGATAACAGATTCATCATGACACCAGATGAAATGAGTCACCCTAATTGTTCCAGTCTGGATAATAGTGTTCCTGAACATTCTGAGGACCTACCACAAGACCACTTACCTGCTATGTTGATCCAGGATCAGCTTCTTCTCAAATTGCAGGACATCCAGCAACGCTCTGTGCAATCTGTGAAAGTAAGTTTAAGGTGGAATTTCAGTTCTAGTTCGATATAACAGATGTCTTAACAAATGCAGGACAGCACAACACAATGAATGCCATCAGGTTGCATAAAATTGGTATTGATACAGAATTGTTACTTCCTCACTATCAGTATGACTGAGGAGGGGGGCGGTATCCGTGAACGTGGAAGAATCGAATTGGTTTGACATTAAACCAGGGATAGCACCAGGACACTCTAATAGTAATTAATGTAACTACTACAACAAACTAGACTGGTTATGGTGCTTACAGTTCCCTTTTAATCATTATTTTCCCAAATTCACTACTTCTCTCTCCAGTGGCGTACACACAACCCATGGGGCCCTGGTGCAAAACTGACCCTGCCCCCACCACCACCCCACCCCACCCACCACCACCCCATTCCCCCCACTGCCACCCCATACAGACATGCACAGAGATACACACATACGTACTGACACATACATTCACATACATAGACTAACATGCAGACACACAGACACATACGTAGACACACACACACACACACACACACACACATACATAGACACACAGAAACACACACACAGACACATGCATAGACAGACACATACATACAGAGACACACATACACACACAGACTCATACATACAGTCACACACACATACATACAGACACATACAGAGACACACATACAAACATACATACAGACACATACACAGAGACACACACACACGTGCAAAATATTTTAGTCACCCTCCTGTTACCTACCGTTTAGGTGCAGGTGGGTGACTTCCCTGGGGTCCAGTGGTCAGATTGATGGGAGTCAGAGTACCCACTCTGACTCCCTCTGCTTTCTTCAGCACGGCTCCTGGTGGTTGCTGGGAGGAGTGACTGCGGAAGTCACTTCCTCCCAGCATCTGACATCATCAAAGTGGGCCCGGTCGCGCTGTTACCAGGCCCACTCTGATGATGATATTCATTTCCATCGGGTTTCCTTAACAGCATGGGCCACCCAATGGGCCCCTTCACCTGCGGCCCGGGTAAATATACTGCGCGGTCGGGGCCACAACACATGGCAGCAGGCACGCGGTATGTACGCAGCTGTCTCTCTCCACTCCCAGTAAACCTAGCTTCCTTTAGTTTTCTCTACAATTTTATTGTGTCTGACTTTCTTTTCTAGGATTCTGGAGATAGCTATGACTGTAGCATCGATAACAGATACATCATGACACCAGATGAAATGAGTCACCCTAATTGTTCCAGTCTGGATAATAGCGTTCCTGAAAATCCTGACAACCTACCACATGATCACTTACCTGCTATGTGGATTCAAGATCAGCTTCTTCTCAAATTGCAGGACATCCAGCATAGCTCTATGCTGGAGGAGGGACAATCTGTGAAAGTAAGTGTATGACGGTATTCCAGTTCTAGTTCGAAATACCAGGTGTCTTAATAAATGTAGGACAGCACATCACAAGCAATGCTATACAGGTTGTATAAAATTGGTATTATTACAGAAATGGTAATTACTCATTATTTTGTAACAAACAATAAAAAAATCCCAAAATGGCAGTCAGATATCTCATTGGATCAAGAAGCTTTTTACTTATCCATATATTTAACATGTGTTTGTGAGATATGAACAATAAAATTACATGTATAAATTCACACCTCTTTATCCTGTAACCGGACATCTCCATCTTAGCTCCCTGTCAATCATTGTTAAAAGCTTCACCCTTTGTATCTGCAGTCAGCACAGAGAGAGCATCCAGAGAGGAGGAGAAAGGAAACAATGTTTCTATATCTCCTCTTCATTTGCATTGTGTGCCCTGGCTGTGCCAGAACAAAAAAAAAAAAAAGAAAACAGAGCATCTCATGAAAAATGTTACAATATAGGTGATTTTCAGTAGTTATTTTAAATGGCGCACTTTAGAGAGAAGTGACAATAAATCCAGACGTTAATTGTGTCTGACTTTCTTTTCTAGGATTCTGGAGATAGCTATGACTGTAGCAGTGATAACAGATTCATCGTGACACCAGATGAAATGAGTCACCCTAATTGTTCCAGTCTGGATAATATCGTTCCTGAAAATCCTGAGGACCTACCGCAAGATCACTTACCTGCTATGTGGATTCAACATCAGCTTCTTCTCAAATTCCAGGACTTCCAGTATCGCTCTGTGCAATCTGTGAAAGTAAGTTTAAGGTGGAATCACAGTTATAGTTTGATATAACAGATGTCTTAACAAACGTAGGACCACACAACACAATCAATGCCATCAGGCTGTATAAAATTGGTATGGATATAGCAATGTTAATTCCTCACTATCAGTATGGCAGAGGAGGGAGGAGGTATCCAGGTACTTGGAAGAATCTAATTGGTTTGACATTAAACCAGGGATAGCACCAGGACACTCTAATAGTAATTAATGTAACTACTACAGTAAGCTATAATGGTTATCGTGCTTACAGTTCCCTTTTAATCATTATTTTCCCAAATTCACTACTTCTCTCTCCACTCCCAGCAAACCTAGCTTCCTTTAGTTTTCTTTACAATTTTATTGTGTCTGACTTTCTTTTCTAGAATTCTGGAGATAGCTATGACTGTAGCAGTGATAACAGATACATCATGACACCAGCTGAAATTAGTCACCCTAATTGTTCTAGCCTGAATAATAGCGTTCCTGAAAATTTTGAGGACCTACCACATGACCACTTACCTGCTATGTGGATTCAGGATCAGCTTCTCAGAATGCAGGACTTCCAGTATCGCTCTGTGCAATCTGTGAAAGTAAGTTTAAGGTGGAATTCCAGTTCTAGTTCTATATAACAGATATCTTAAAAAATGTAGGACAGCACAACACAATCAATGCTATCAGGTTGTATAAAATTGATATTGATACAGAAATGGTAATTCCTTGGTATCAGTATGACTGAGGAGGGGGAAAAAATCCAGGTATTTGGAAGAATCTAATTGGTTAAACATTAAACCAGAGAGAACGGCAGGACACTCTAGTCACTATAACCACTACAGCAAGCTAAAATGGTTATGGTGCTTACAGTTCCCTTTTAATCATTATTTTCCCACATTCACTGCTTCTCTCTTCACTCTCAGCAAACCTAGCATCCTTTTCACTACCCCGTGCTTCCTTTCCTTTATTGATCAATATGTTTCAGACTCAATCGTACAAACCCCCAACACCGTGGGTGAGCTTTCTAGTTGAGAATATGGCTGCTATCCCTTTATAAAAGGAGAGCGGTTTATGGCCTTCACAGTTTGCTCCATACATAGTTTCTGCTGCCTTGTCAAATTAAAATAAACACACATTTTAAAAAAATGAAAAGAATCATATAAAAATGATAGAAAGTATGAAATGTATACGATAATTTGCATTTCTTGATCAATTGAGTTGCTGAATTCTGGGTTTAGTAAATAAATCAGAGCGTTTGATGGTTTATCAAAGGGTAACAATCACTTCCCAGGACGTTTAATATTATATTTACTTATCCCTAAATTCAACGACTATCTGTTTGTAAGATGTGAACGATAAAATTAAACATAGAAATCCACACCTCTTTATACTGTAACTGGTTAAAAAAAAGCTCCGCCCTTTGCATCTGACCGTCAGCACAGAGCGATCATACAGAAAGGAGGAGAAATGAAACAATGTTTCTATATGTCCTCTTCATTTGCATTGTGTGCCCTGGCTGTGCCAGAACTAAACAAAAAGAAAACAGAACATCTCATGAGAAACTGTTAACATGTATGTGATTTTCAATTTTTTATTCAATGACGCACTTTCCAGAGAAGTGACGATAAAACCCTTTTATCGTGTCTGACTTTCTTTTCTAGGATTCTGGCGGTAGCTATGGATGTAGCATTGATAGCAGATTCATCATGACACCAGATGAAATGAGTGAACCTAATTGTTCCAGTCTGGATAATAGTGTTTCTGAAAATTCTGAAGACCTATCACATGACTACTTACCTGCTGTGTGTACTCAGGGTCGGCCTACTCTCAGAATGCAAGACTTCCAGCTTTGCTCTGTGCTGGGTAAAGGGCAATTTGGGAAAGTAAGTTTATGGTGGAATTCGAGTTCTAGTTCGATATAACAGATGTCTTAAATTCAGGATAGCACAACACTGTATTCTTTAATTTCAGGTTCTGCTGGCCGAGCACAAGGAAACAACCAACATGTATGCCCTGAAATTCATAAAAAAAGTAAACTTAGAATCACCACATCAGTTCAACAAGTCAGTGAATGCAGTAATAAATATCTTGTGTTTGTGAAGAGGACCAAGTCCTGTTTCTGTGGGGGGTTTTTTCATTTGATTTTAGAGTCGAAGAAAATAAACTTTTATTTTCCTTTCCAGCCTTCTTAGTGAAAAGCGGATATTCCAGACAGTGAGCAATAGGCGGCACCCATTCCTTATGAACTTGTTTGGGTGTTTCCACACCCGAGATCACGCCTGCTTTGTTATGGAGTATGCAGCAGGGGGCGACCTTCTTACATGCCTTGATAACAACCATGGCCCATTTCCAGAACCCAGAGCAGTGTGAGTATAAGCAGCATTCTGTCCATTTATCGATATCTCATCCAATGTTCTACAGATGGTGGCTTGAGCTGGGCTACACCTTCCATAACATCTTGTCAGATTATGAATTAATTCTGGGATATCACACTTTGTTTAAATTCTGTGTTTATTTAGTTTAGAATGACTTTAAACTGTATAACTTTATATCCTATGAGCTGCTGTATATATCTTTACCATTATGTGTCAATGCTGGATCAGAGCAGTTACTTCTGACCACATACACCGCTGTCTGCACCAACTATGTCTAATGACTCTGCAAGTATCGGCATTGGTGAATTGAACCCGCTGTAAGTGATAAACGACCAATCACCATTGTATCAGCTCATACATAACACACTAGCAGTGAAAGACATGAGGAAACCTGGGAATTAATGTACTCTGTCAGAATACAGAGTTGGATATATGGAATAAAACCATTTAATCGTGCAAACACTGTATCTTCTAGAAAGCCATTCATTTATTTATTTTTCCCCAGATTTTATTCTGCATGTGTCGTCCTTGGACTTGAGTATTTACACGAACAAAACATCGTCCACAGGTAAGCCTATAAAAAAACAAAACTACACGTTATTTAAGTGTTATTTATGGCACACAGTCTGTCTAACCCAGTTTAATTATCTAGATTAAGTTATTAATTTTAACCAATTAAAAACCCTGAACAATGAGAGCTATTCTAAGTGCTTCTAGTGTTATGTAAAATGAATAAAACTTCCTTTTCTACATTTTAATCTAGAGATCTGAAGCTTGAAAACATTGTTCTGGATGAGAGAGGATTTGCGAAGATAACTGACTATGGTCTCTCTAAAGAAGGTAAATAGAATGCTCTAATATAATTTTAGATACAAAAAGGTCACACCTACTAAGTTCAAATCAGTTATCTTTCATTTAAAAAGCCACTTAACATATAATAGGATGTCTATAAAAGGTATGCTTGATTCCAAAACTGACATAAAGGAACTTTATAACATTAAAAATAAGAGCATTTATTTTAAATGTAAATTATTCCTAAGTGGGCCTCCCGTTTCTTTTCCAGCAATTTTTTATGAATGGGCAGTGACTGATTGCTGAGAGCGTCAGCTGACCGCTCCCAGACAATCAGCAGTCCCCCTGCCCAGTGGCACTCCGTGCTTCTTAAAACTGTAATTTCAGAAGCCAGATGCCGCCTGAGGGAAGTAGTGATTGGAGATGGAGGCTCACTTTGAGATTAAACAGTTCAAGAACGGTTTGACCACTTGAGATAGGCGTGCGCCCTGGAGGCCTCCTGGCACCATAACAACTTCAATTACGTTTTTATGGTGCCCGGAGTGTAAGTGTATAAAGTACTTCTGTTTTTTTTTTTTTTTATCAAACTAAATTTAAGTATTTTCCTGATAGTCAGACCCAGCCACGGTGCTGCCACTGCGATAATTGAAATTTTCGGATGGAAATGATATGAGAAGTTGCGGCAGCAACAAACTTAAAGAAAGTCATATCCAAATGTAAATTGCTAAAATTGAACATCTATCCTCAACTTATATACAATTCTATTTTCACTATTTCTGAGGAATTGGATACGGAGACAGAACAAACAGCATTTGTGGAACTCCTAATTATCTGGCTCCTGAAATGGCCAAGCGCAAGACATATACAAGATCTGTGGACTGGTGGAGCTTCGGAGTGGTTATTTATGTAATGTTAACTGGAAACGTAAGAACAATCTTTCATTAAGAATTTACAGTCAGATTTCTGTTTAGAAAATATAAAGAGATTCTGCCAAGTATTTGCTTTTAACATGACAACAATCTTTATTAAAAAGTTGCTCTATTTATTTTTGGTTTTGTTTTATTACTTTTTGTTGGCCTCCCCTCTTCCAATAATTCCTCTCTCTCCAACATTCACACCCACATTTGTATACAAACGTATCTCACCCCAAAACAGACACCCCCAATTAATTAACTCCTCCCTTCCAAACACAGACCCCACATTCCCTGACTGTTATTTTTGCACTCGTTTACCTGTCATTTTCCTTCAACTATTATATTACAACATTTCTTTACAATGAACCCATCCTTATCCAAATCACATCTCAAATTAACCCCTCCCCATAATAGATCCAGACAGCTTCAATACCCTGTAATTAACCCCTGACCCTTGGTTCCCAAATCTAAATCTTTTACCAATGAATTATCTCCATCTTCTGCTCTGCCCCTGGTCCAGTTACTTAGTACTCCGGTGGCTGACAATGTGTGCGTACATCGTGTGTAACCCTCTGTATACCACTTCTTTGTGAATACCTATACGGTCAGAGGATGTTTAGTAGTAGACTCTAATAAACATCCCACCTACTAACTTGCTTAAATGTTTTGTATTTAACTTTTTTTGTCTCCTGACAAAAAGAAAAAAGCCATTGTAACCCAATGTTACTGTACAAAATAAAACAAATAATACTAGATGACAATTTAAAAAGTAAATAAATAAAAACACCAGGAGAAAATTAATTATACAATAGACCATGGGTGCCAAAAAGGTAGATCTTCCATGATGCTTTTTCATTGTAAAGGTATGCAAAGCATCATGGGAGTTGTTGTTAGAGAGCATCTGGGGATCTACCTTCTAGGCACCCCCTGATATAGACCTTCCAGTCCTTTATCTCAGAGCTCAAAAACTGATATTCCCTGCGGTCTTGAAAATCGCTCAGCGTTTTGAAAATTCCAGCCAATCACAGTGCATCTCCGGACACGTTTCACTCCCCTGCGGTACGCCTGATGATGTATTTCACGACAGTGTTCAGTTATCTTTCACATATTATATACACTCGCACACACATGGTTGTTGAGTTGTGATATACACATTGTGTCATCTGTACTACGAAGATTATAAAACCCTATTAATTTATTGCTCAGCTTTCAGCTACTACAATTTACAACTTATTCAAACCTTAACTGAGGTTTTTTTAAATGTAATTTTTCTCTAGTTACCCTTCGAAGGCCGTGATGTTGAGACACTTTATGCTAAAATTGCCAAATGTAAACTAAAAATTCCAGAGTCATTGTCTAGTGAAGCCACTTCAATACTGAGTAAGGTAAGTTGTCACGCAAATTTAATATATCATACAACCCATGCTGAAAACATGCATTCGCCATCGATGAGTGGAGATTCAGACCTAACAAGCTGCCCTGAGATAGGGGAATTCTGTAGAATGGGCAGTAAAGAATGGAGGTCCGGCTGACCTTTGGGAGAGGAAGTGTATCAGTTTTTTTATTTGATGTTTATACAATAGTTCTCTTATTGGTCATGCAAATTTTCAATGCTATATATTCACCTTGAATTGGATGTAGCTAGCTGTTTGTGTTAATGCTGGTAAAGAAACATTCATTATTACAGAGTATTAAAACAAAACCCGAAATATCTGCTCACTTATTCTATGACATCCATAAATGATGCAATATTACATCTAACACTCATTCTCTATAGTTATGTGACTCACAGCGCCCACTAGTGGCTTGTATAAAAACATAGTAGCAGTTACAAACCGTGTACAAACACCACCACGATTTATCCTGGCGTAAAACATTGCATTGCCAGCATCCCTCTCAACAGTGAGATTACTACCCACTATATATTTATTTATAATTAACCCCTTAAGGACGGAGCCAAATGTACACATTGTGAACAAAACAAAATGTAAACAAAACCTGGCATTTGCGCTACATGTCTGTCCAACCGTAATACACCTCTTTCATAGTAAATGCACCCACCCTTATTATATATCATTTTATTCAGGGGAAACAGGGCTTTCATTTAATATCAAATATTTAGCTATGAAACATAATTTAATATGAAAAAATGGGAGAAAATAAATTTTTTTTGGATTTTTTTAGTTCTACATGACATTTTAACGGTCAATGTCATAATACTGTTTGCTTTTACTGCAATAAAATACACATATTTATATTCAGTAAAGTCTCACGTGTAAGACAGTACCCCCTATATACAGGTTTTATGGCGTTTTGGGAAGTTATAGGATCAAATATAGCACGTTACATTTGAAATTGAAATTTGCCAGATTGGTTACGTTGCCTTTGAGACTGTATAGTAGCCCGGGAATGAAATTTACACCCATAATGGTATACCATTTGCAATAGTAGACAACCCAAGGTATTGCAAATGGGGTATGTCCAGTCTTTTTTAGTAGCCATTTGGTCACAAACACTGGCCAAAGTTAGCGTTAGTATTTGTTTGTGTGTGAAAAATGCAAAAAACGCCAATTTTGGCCAGTGTTTGTGGCTAAGTGGCTACTAAAAAAGACTGGACATACCCTGTTTGCAATACCTTGGGTTGTCTACTATTGCAAATGGTATGCCATCATAGGGGTAATTTTCATTCTTGGGCTACCATAGGGTCTCAAAGGCAACGTAACCAATCTGGCGAATTTTAATGTGAAAAAAATGAAACGCAAGCCTTATATTTGACGCTGTAACTTTTGAAAACACCATAAAACCTGTACATGAGGGGTACTGTTGTACTCGGGAGACTTCGCTGAACACAAATATTTGTGTTTCAAAACAGTAAAAAGTATCACAGCAATAATATTGTCCGTGTAATGCTGTTTGTGCGTGAAAAATGCAAAAAACGTCACTTTTACTGGCGATATCATCGTTGTAATACATTTTACTGTTTTGAAACACTAATATTTGTGTTCAGCGAAGTCTCCCGAGTAGAACAGTACCCCCCATGTACAGGTTTTATGGTGTCTGGAAAGTTATAGGGTTAAATATAGTGCTAGCAAATTAAATTCCCTTTACTTTCGGCATTGGTTGTCAGGCAGGTCCTGCTAATTGTAATTAATTAAGATACCTAATTATGTAAAAATATTACATAAATATATATGTAGAATTAATATATGTATATATATACGTATGTGTATATATATGTATATATCTATATAATTTTTAAAAAATATTTTTATTTATATATAGGTATATATATAGTGATATATATGTATATATTTATGTATATAGATATATATATTATTTCGTTCTACGTGTATTTTGATATATATATATATATATATATATATTAATTTCACAAAACAGTTAGAACGAAATAACACACATCTATATATTTTTTAATTATTTATTTTTAATTATTTTTTAATTTTATTTTTTAACGTATTTACATTTTTATTTTTTTTATATTATATATAAATATATATATAACAATAAATTATATATATATTTAATCAGTATCAGTCTACGTGTAATTTGATATTAATATATATATATAATTATATATATATTAATAGTAAAATACACCTAGACGGTGTACGTGTGTGTATGTATATGTGTATATATATATATACTTAGATCATATATATATAATATATGCATATGATCTAAGTATATATTATTTTTTTTTTACACCAATAAATTTAATTTTAATTTTATTTCCAGCCAGCAGGGGGACCACCTGTCATTACAGGCAGCCCCCCTGCTGGCAATGCAGGAGGCAGCCTACTCGGCCATGTGATTGTGGGGTCCTCGCTAGGACCCCACTCTCACATGGCCGGGGAGCACCGGAGGAGAAGGATCTGCCGCGGGGGGGCTCCCTGGGAGTCCCCCCCACCGCGATCGCCGGCGTGGGACCGCCGGCGACAGGGTAAGTTAACAAAAACCGGAAGGCGTACAATTACGCCCGGCGGCGTTTAGAGCCGCCTATAATAGGGCGTAATTGTACGTCCTCCGGTTTTAAGGGGTTAATAGCGATAATACACATTTTTCCTTTACCTTTGTTCTGTCCCTTTGAGTATAACGCTGAAGAAGTAAATACGAAAACACAAAAATAATGCATTTCACATGAACAGTACTGAGCATTGAACATCTCAAAATACACTCAGGGCTGGTGCAAGGGTTCTTGGCTACACAGGCAAAAATCCATTTAGCGCCCCCCTTCACACTCTTCTCCCCCTGTTGTGCAGTTCTCACACAGATATCTCGTACCTTGGACGGAGCCGCACACCCACAGGACCTCCAACAGGGCCCGACTTACTGTTAATGTTCCTGATGTTTAGCATTAAAATTAACAAACCTATTTTACAAAATTCCTTTTACAGTTACTGACTAAAAAACATGAGAAACGTCTAGGATCCAGTGAGAAAGACGCACAGGAAGTGAAGGACCATCCTTATTTTCAAGTACGTACATATGTTTTTTTGTTTTGTGTTTTTTACTGTGGTTTTGTCACTAAATATTTGTGTGATTTTAGGAAAAATAAAATCTTTGTAATATACTGAAATTCTAACACAGCCAAAAGAGAACATAAGAAAACTAGAGAATTCTATTGGGATCTAAACAAAATGTGGCTTTTTGGGCATATTAGCTGTTATCTTGTATTTTATATAGTCTTGGTTTGTACATGATGCTCATTATTTTACAAATTCCTTTCCAGCATATAGATTGGAACGCATTATTATTACAAAATGTGACACCTCCATTTGTGCCAACCATTAACGGAGCCGAAGATGTCAGCAACTTTGATGCGATATTCACCTCGGAAGCGCCTATTATAACTCCACCAGCAAGACGAAGAGTTCCACCGTTAATGGAGAAGAAGACATTTGAGGATTTTTGTTGGAGGGCAGATTGGAGTTAATCTCGGTTGTGATCCACAATAAGAATTACTGGAGAGAGAATTAGCATTAATATATTCTACCAATGACATCATTTATTGAAAACTAAAGTGAGAATTCAAACTGAATTTCAAATTTAGAGTTAAAAAAAAGAAAAAAGAAAAAAAGAAACATGCCCTCAGTCAGCTACGATTCCAGATTGGCTACTTTGGCTTTAAATTTGCAAATCACTTTGATTTCTCATTTTTGGAAATAACCCTGCAAATTGTTGAATTGTGTATACGTGTATTATTATTGTTGTTAAAATAAAATAAAAAATTTGACATTAAAAAAAATGTAAATTTAGACGTGAATCTTTGTGTAGCAGAAGAAGGAGGAATAGTACCAGGCTTGGGACCCAGACCTATTCCATCCAGCGTTCGTCCCTTCTCCTAAGGGGAAATATAATAGAGAGTCAGCCTTTCCTTCCAGCAATACCCGGTTAGTAATGTCAGTGATCTTCCAGACAGAGAGCCAGCCTTTCCTTCCAACAATAACCGATTAGTAATGCCAATGATCTTCCAGACAGAGAGCCAGCCTCTCCTTCCAGCAATACCCGATTAGTAATAACAGTGATCTTCCAGACAGAGAGCCAGCCTTTCCTTCCAGCAATACCCGATTAGTAATGCCAATGATCTTCCAGATAGAGAGCCAGCCTTTCCTTACAGCAAGCCCCTGTCATATCCACGCCCCCAAAATGTGAGTGTCTGAGGAATGTGGGATGACAGGGGCCAATGGGGGCACATTTCATTTTTTGGCTCCCACTGCCCCTTTAAGAGCATGCCCGAGACGCGCGGCACGCTCTTAGAGCTAGGCGGAACACGTGACCGCATCTCGCGGTCCGTGCCCGCCTTCATTTGGGAGCTGCGCGCGGCGGGAAGTGAGGACCTTGGCCGGCCCCCGGGTAAGGTAAGTACCGCTACAACTGGGAAGGGAAAGGGCTAATCACTGTTCCAGTGTGGAGGATTCAACAGGGAAAGTCCTTTTAAGCACTAGATCTTCCAGGACTAAGTGTCATCCAGTGCCTGGGGGTGGATAGAGAGTTCCCCACTCGGCTCCATAAGGGAGTGGTTCCAGGACCCCAGTCAAGTCACGGCGACTGTGGGCAGAAGTGCTGCGGAATTATAAAATAGGAAATGCACTTACATTTATTGGAGCTATATATGTGGATCTGTTAGTGTGTATGATCACCTCTCTGATGATATGTAGGTGGTGGGGGGTCTTCTCTGTGGTACTTATAAAAATATCAATATAGTGCACACTGTGTGATTGGGTGGGTGAGAGATTAAAATTCACTTAATAGCTCAGGAGCAAAGTATGGTTTTGCTCACTCAATAAGGTTCTGGTGGTACACCTCCCCACCTTGGAGAACGAAGTAGAAGAAATTCGTGGGGTGCCAAAGTGAGACGGGATGGTCCAGGGTAGTTAGAAAATGAGTATCTTTTAATAAATACAATAAAACAAAGAGTTAAAACACTGATAATTAAAAGTAACACAATGTGTATCGCCACTGCATGCATAGGGCTTTGTCAAGTGTCCTAGAAATTGAAAAAGCTCTATGCTGTGGTGAAACGCGCTGTTAATTTTGATTATAAGTGTTTTAAATGGAAAGACCCCCGATAGGCAGTACAATTAATAGCCTAATATACAATGATATAACAGTGGATGATGAATAGTCCTTTTAAGAATACATTTTCTTCCCCAGATCTTAAGAAACTTCAGATCTTAAGAACAAGCATTCTGGCCAGGATATAAATGGAAGTTTATCATACCAAAACCTCAAGGACTCACTTGGGCCTGGCATACCACAGTCTTTAAAGGAATTTGATACCAATGGAGATGACAGATATTCCTTCACTGAACTGAAAGATGATTTAGGTTTTTAATTGCTGCACTCGATACAAAGAATGGAGAAATCACTGAATTGAAACTATTCATACACATGTCCCATTGACCTCAGGGCCAGATTAAGAGCCTAGTGGGCCTGGTTCTGACAATTATGATGGGGCCTAATTACAGAATTTTATCGACCAAAAACACTAAAACAGTCATACCTCTAAAGAGTCATGTATCTGATGGAGTTGGTGTTGGAGGGAAACTCAAAGGATGCAGCTATAAGAAAACACATACTCTATGCTAATCTCTTTATCTAATTAATGCTTTCATCTTTCAAGTAAATCCATACCCCATAACAGCAGTGTCCATGGGCGGGGTAAAAGGGTGTGCCACTGACGCAAATCACGTGACCAGAACTGCCAAAAGGGGCGAACATGCCCAAAAAGGGGGCATGTCTGTCCAAAGAATTGGAAGGCCAGCCTGGCATCAGTGTCCCTATGTATCACAGTGTCAATGTCCCCATGTCGCCCAGTCCCCTAGTCTCCCAGTGTCTGTGTCCCCATTTCTCCCAGTGTCCCCATGTCTCAGTGTGTCCTGTGTCACTAGGATACTAGGGGACACTGAGAGACATGGGGACACTGAGAGATCCGGGGACACTGGGAGACGTGGGTGCACTCGGAGACGTGGGGGCACTTGTGAATACAGACATGGGGACACTGGGAGACATGAGGACACATACATTTGGGGACACTGGGAGAAATGAGGAGACAGACACTAGGGACACAGACATGGGGACACAGACACTAGGAGACAGGAGGACACAGACACTAGGGACACTGGTTGGGAGGCATGGGGACACAGACACTTGGGGAGACTGGGAGACATGGGACACAAAGGACACAGAGACATGGGGACACAGACACTGGGAGACATGGGGACACTGAGACACTAGGGACACTGGCTGGGAGACATAGGGACACTGGGAGACATGGGGACTCTAAGACACTAGCTGGGAGTCATGGGGACACTAAGAGACATAGGGACACAAAGAGACATGGGGACATAGATACTAGGGGCACTGGCTGGGAGGCATGGGGACACAGACACTTGGGGACACAGACACTTGGGGACACTGGGAGACATGGGGCACTTGTGGACATAGACATGGGGACACTGGGAGGCATGGGGACACTGAGACATTTGGGGACACTGGGAGATATGGGGACACTAAGGACATAGAGACATGGGGACACAGACACTGGGAGACATGGGGACACTGAGACACTAGGGACAATGGCTGGGAAACATAGGGACACTGGCTGGGAGTCATGGGGACACTGGGAGACATGGTGACATTGAGAGATATGGGGACACAGAGACATGGGGACACAGATACTGGGAGACTAGGGGATACTGGGAGCCATGGTGATAGACATTTGGGGAATCTAAGACACTAGGGACACTGAGAGACATAGGGACACAGACACTAGGGACACTGGCTGGGAGGCATGGGGACACAGACACTTGGGGACACTGGGAGACATGGGGCACTTGTGGACATATACATGGGGACACTGGGAGACATGGGGACACTGAGACATTTGGGGACACTGGGAGACATGGAGACACTAAGGACACAGAGACATGGGGACACAGACACTGGGAGACATGGGGACACTGAGACACTAGGGACACTGGCTGGGAGACATAGGGACACTGGAATACATGGGGACACTGAGACACTGGCTGGGAGCCATGGGGACACTGGGAGACATGGGGACACTGAGAGACATGGGGATACAGAGACATGGTGACACAGATACTTGGACACCAGGGGACACCCGGAGTCATGGGGACACTGAGACACTAGGAACACTGGCTGGGAGACATGGGGACACTGTGTCCCTAGTGACTCCATGTCCCAATGTGTCTCCCTATGTCTCACAGCGTCACCATGTGTCTGTGTCCCCATGTGTCTCAGTGTCCCCATGTCTCCCAGTGTCCCCACATCTCCCAGTGTCCCCTAGTGTCTCAGTGTCCCCTAGTATCTCCCTGCTGCCTTTCCCCACATCCTTCACATACCTGAGCTGTAGTCTGTCTCTGCAGGCTGGAAGCTGTTGTCTGGATTCTCTGTGTTGTGTAGCTGCTCCCCCGCGGATCAGTGAGTAGAAAGAGGCAGGGAGATGCTGTAACTTCCTATCCCTGCCTCTCTCCTTACACAGTGACCCCTACTGGCCGATGCTGGTATTGCAGAGTAATCTCCGTTTATACGGAGGAAAATACACTGCCAGGCAGCCTCCAATACCAGCTGTGCCTTAAAATACCAGTCAGGTGGTAAACCTAAGAGTAGTCTGTAAAAAAAAAAAAAAGTAAAAAACATTTTTTTTTTTTAATTTTTTTTTTTACAATGGGCCTATTCCATGGGCCTGGGCCTGGAGCTGCAGCTCCATCAGCCCCTATGTTAATCCGGCCCTGGATATAAACATGAAGATCTGAAAAGACAGAATTATTATTATTTTTTTAATGTTATGACTGGTGAAGCACAAATCAATACCACAAAAACATACAGCATTCTTGAAACTGCATAAAGTAATACCTTATGTAAATAAAGCTGAATTTATTTTTTTGCAAAATCCCCTTAAGTAACATGTCCACCTAACATGCAATCCTTTACTGAGAAGTAAACAAATCTAAAAAGGATCAAAATCGGTGCATTTAAATTACAAATCTGTGAGTTTATCATATGTTTTTAGGAAAGTATTTTAAGGGTTATTCAAGGAACAATGTAGGAACCGGAGTCCATGAGTGCTGGGGTTTACTCATCGTTTACCAGAGATGCTCCGTCCCCAGCAGCCTTGTCTTCAATAATGATACAGTGGAGTTACAATTCTCCATTGCAGCTCCTGCTAATGCTTCCTTCTTTGGAGTGCTTTGAGATTTGAGATATTTTGAGCAAACAAATATCAAAAGTGCTTGGCCACAAACACATGAAAAAAGCTTTGGTCACGAAACACTTAAAGAAGGCTTGCCAGTTACATTGGTCAGTATAGGTATAATTAACAGAAATTTTTTCGCAAGGATAAATCCATTTTGTAGTCAAGAAAGATGTCTCTCTCTCTCTTTTTTTTTTCTTCGCTGCACATTTGAA